TTTAGGTGTCTTGAACCAAGTCATGTTTAAGCTCATATTTCTTCTTGCTTTCTGCACCTCTGCCCCTGGCTGCCATCAGTAACACACACACACTCTCACACACCTCCTCTCATAAGGTATAAGCAGGGCCAGTGATGACATGTTCTTGCTCTCAGTCCCTCCTTCTCTTTTGTTGTTAAGGGCCTTTTAAAGGCAAAGCAAACCCCAACTTAAACCATCTGAAGCAAAAAAGAGAATTCATTGGCTCATGCAGCTGAGAAGCCTGGGGGTGCCGCCCAGTTGGATCTGGTGGCTTGAGCAATGGCTTGGGTATTACTCTCTGGGCCTCTCGACCTAGATCCAATGTTCATTGGACTGAAATGGGTCACATGCCCAGCCCTGAAGATGAGTATGGAAGAGCTTGGTTTCCAAGAGAAACGGGTGGTGTTAGCTGTAGGCAGCCATGGAGCCACAGCAGCTGATCCCAGGGGAATCACAGGGGAGGCTGGGTCCCAATATTTTTATGTCTTTAATGAGAAGTGACTGAAAAAGAAATAAACTTGTCATTCTCGCACCTAAACTGGGCTAGTTGTGTCTCACACATGGTGTCATTTAAGAACGAATAACCAGCCCTGGCCAGTGTGGTTCGGCGTCATCTGATGCACCAAAGGGTTGCCGGTTCAATTCCCAGTCCAGGCACTTGCCTGGGTTGCAGGCTTGATCCCCCATCGGGGCATGCAGGAGGCAGCTGATCATGTTTCACTCTCACATCAACATTTTTTTTTCTCTCTCTCTCTCTCTCTCTTCCTCTCCATTCCCTAAAAAAAAAAAAAAAAAAGACTGCATAATCAAACTTAGGTTATTAATAACTGGACTTTAGACAACGAACTGATGTCACCCTATAAAATTATTGGCTTACTGGGGCTCTGGAGCTAGACCTCACCTTTGGGTGAGAGTAGACTTTGCTGTGGAGGGAATAGATGACCCAACTTTCAACCACCCAAGAAGAAGGTTCTTGTGGGGACAGGGGACGAGGACACAGGAGGGGAGGCTCAGGCTAGAATTAGGGGAAGCTCTTTCTCCTCTTTTTGGGACCAGGGTGAGTGGGTGAAGGTGCCTGGATTTTTCCAGTGGGTATAAGGCATAAGCAACCATGGTCACAGGAAGGCTGGTGAGAAGTGAGGGGGGCGCCCGCCAAACAAGGCTGGCTTCATGGGTGTCACACAGGCACCACATTCAGAAGGGCCTTGTGATTGGTTTAACACTCTGGGGTCGCCATATCGAAAGTCTTAATAACTTTTGTACAAAGACGTCACGAAATTCTAGCACAGCCCTGGCGACAATCTCAGCCTGGCCCGGGACAAACACAGGGGTCCGTGCCAGTGGGGGACACTCGGTCACCATGCAGGTTCAAGACTCTGCCCCCGGAGCTGCTCAGATGCCCCTGCCAAGGAGGCTTGATGCAGTGAGTCACCCTTAATTGGGTCTTGGGAGCTGAGCAACATCATCCCCTGGGGATTTGGCTCCATCAAAACCCAACTGCAGAATTACAGCCCCAGGGAAGCAAGCCAAGATGTACTGACATCAGGGCTGCTTGGGGCAGAGCCTCCTTCACTTTACCGTCACCTGCTCTCACATCTGTTCTCATGTCTCATTGTATTTTAAGATAAAATGCTTTCTCTCCCAGTTCTACTTTCACTTGCCGTGAGCCAGACAGCAAGGTGTTCCCATGGGAGGACGCTGGGTCTCTGGGCTTAGTTCTTCTGCTTCTGTGGCTTATCATTAATCCTGCAAAGGCTGTGTGAAATTTGAAATGAGTACATCATCTGAACTTTGCAGCTCCTTCCAGTGCTTTTCAAGTGACAAACCAATCACCGGGTCCTTCAATAACACAGACACGATTGGGCATTGGGGCGGGGGGAGGGAGAGGAAAATATTAAAATAAGAAGAGCTGCACAGACTTGTCAGTTTAGTACAGAATACCACAGAATCGCCTGGCCTGCATGGTTCAGTGGTTGAACATCAACCTATGAACCGGGAGGTCATGGTTCGATTCCCGGTCAAGGCACATGCCCGAGTTGCAGGCTCAGTCCCCAGTGTGGAGTGTACAGGAGGCAGCCAATCAGTGAGTCTCTCTCATCATTGATGTTTCTATCCTTCTCCCCTTCTTCCTTCGTCTCTGAAATCAATAAAAATATTTTTTTTTAAAAAAAGAATACCACAGAATGCAGACCAGCTCATCTGATGACTTTACCCATTAATATGAAGATGAGAATAGTGGCCAAGGGCTGCCATGGACTGCTAGAGCTACCTATGCAACCATATTCCTCTTTGGAAGAAAAAAAAAGGCAAATAATGAGCTGTGTGGCTTCAGTGGTATTTGTAATGTTCCATTTCTTCAGCGCTGTCCTTTATAACATGTATACACTTTATATAAGTATGTAGTATGCATCAGATATTTTATAACTTACAATAAAAAATTAATAAGCTAATAAATGGTAGGATTGGGGCCATCTGGGTTGGTGGCACAGAAGGTAGGAAGGTGACAGGAAGGGATGCAGGAGCCCTCAGAGACTCACCAAGATGGGGTTTTCCCTCAGGGACCTGCAGGGAACACAAAGAAGACTCCCTTCCGCTCTGCAAAGAGCAGATTTCCTACCGCACGAGGGTTCGACATGTGCCTTGTCTATTCCTGAGCCTTGGAAATGGAGTCTTACCCAGTCCTTAATTCTGAACCTGTCCTCAGAGGTTCTTCAGCAAAACCAATGAGTCAGTCACCCTACCTTGAGGCAAGAACCCCGCACCCTCAGGGCAGGGCCATGTGAGTTTGAGATCACTGTGGGGAAGGGCTTGTGCTGGGCAGGGGGAATCTGGCGTTGGGCCATGGGGCCCTCATGACTGACGGCCTGAGTCAGCACCCAGACGCACAGGGTTACGAGAGGTTGTGAAGGGAATGCTAGACTACACCAGCTGGGACGTACTGGAGGGAATCATGTCCAGAGAACAGTATGAACGAGATCAATGGCTGCCAATCCTGAGTCCATATGTGAGTGCCTGCCCCTGATAAAGTTTCCATCCCTTAGGAGGAGATAAGGTGCACAGAACGTAAGTCCACCTTGGCATAAAGTCACCAACTATCTCTTCTTGGGAAACACTGACTGCTATTCTGACTTGGGACTGCTATTCTGACTTGGGGTCCTCGACTGTCCTTTCTTTTATGAAATTATGGTCATAACAGATGGTTCAGTGGAAACTTTCTTCACCAATTCCACTCTTACTAGTTCAACCAACACCCTTTAGTCTCTTGGTGAAACATCCTGACTTGGTCCCTGTGGCAAAGAGTAGATTCTTCTGTTCTCGCCCATTGAGGTGCGCGTTTAAGGAGCGTCAACTGTGTTCGGGCCCAAACTTGCTTAGGCCCGTCGTGCGCAGTAATTATGATGGTGTGATTTAATGCCTGCATCCGTGAGCTCATCAACGAAGAGTATCAACAGAAAGGATACCAATGAAAAAGAGTGTAAGCAAAAAGAGAACTGTTATTTCTACAAAAACGAAATGGAATGCTTTGGAAAGACTCGATAAAAGCACGTCACTTTTTTTTAATGCAGTCAAATTAGGAATGAGTGAGAGAGCTGTGAAATATTCTGAGGAAAAACAGGAAAATGAGATAGGGCTTTGCAATCTGATTGCTTCACAAGTGTCTCGCGCATCTTCCTCCACATCAGACAAACTGGAACTGGACTCCGGCCCCACACCACATGTGTGCAGTTCATGCTGAACTGGCAACAGCCCCTGAGAACGGCAAAGGAATGGCTCAGGTCGACATCAAAATACCAGCGAACTGCTACACACTTAAGTATTTGGAGTCAAGACAAAGCATTTAGAGAAAGAATACCTCTTTCATGATTCCCTGATTTAACCAACTCTTTCAGTGAACTGACCGATTAATTACCAATTCCAATCACTTTGGCTAAAAACGCACCTACTTGGTAAAATAAAAGGCCGGATCAGTCCCTCCGGATCTAAAACATTGTTGATTACGTGAAATCGACTTAGTCCAGCAGCCTGGCCCTCCCAAGGCTAAGCGGCTGCTGTTTTTAAGGTCAATCCAACACTTGTCTTCATCATGCATTTTGAAGGTTACCAGTCCAGTGTGCCTGTCTCTGTCAACTGCTCAGAAAGGCTCCGTCTTCTGAAAGCACAGCATTCTCAAAAGAAGACTGCCCAAACCCTACAACTTTTATAAAGTAGAATCTTTAAATATTAATAATTCAACAGCCAGGGGAGGGAGGCCCGAGTAGCATTAGACAGGCTGTGACTAACGAGGCACTCCGCCAGAGCTGAGTGGTTAGATACCTTGGCGTTTGCCTTCGCAGAAGTGCGCTCGCCTGGAAACGGTACCACAAAATGGCCAATGCCGCCGTCACTCAGACCAGAAGAACCATGTCTGGACTTTCTCTCTCTTGCAGTAAAGGTGCTAGACCAGCACCCAAGATCTGCCTTAAAGTACTCGTGGAGCCACCGGATATGGCCGAGACAACGCTGAGATGCCAATCTATAAACATTACGAAACAACTTCCTTTCGTACCTCTTGCATATGTTTGCTTCCCTTCCCCCGGGGCCCTGACCACTTCCAGACCACAGTCTAAACTCCAGTTCTGGCTTGAACAAATTGGACTGGCTTCAAGGTAGATTCCTGTAGTCAGGCCCACCGAAAGGACCCGATGCTTCCCGGCAGGACCACAGCCAGCAGTCTGCTCCGTGCCGCTGTAGGATGGATGGGGCAGCTTTCCCAAGTGCCATGGGCTAGTCAACCCCGTCCCTGAGGACATGAAAAGGTCCCTTTAAAGACAGCCACCAACCCAGCAGTATATCTGGTGGACACCTTTATAAAAGCTTGAATAAAACAATCGAAAGTGATCAGAGTGGATGTCTTTCTTTTTAAGAAAAATATATTTTATTGACTTCAGAGAGGAAGGAAGAGGGAGAGAAAGACAGAAGCATCAATGGTGAGAGAGAACCATTGATCGGATGCCTCCTGCACGCCCCATACTGGGGATCAGGGAATGGAACCGTGACCTCCTGGCTCATAGGTCAATGCTCAACAATAAGCCACGCCAGCCAGGCATGGATCTGTCTTTCTAAGCTGGTTTCTTTTTCCTCAGCTCAGCCAGGCTGCCAGAAACTTCCATTTCCAGCCCATATCCACGGTCCAGAAAAAGGCAGAAGCAACCAGAGTCCTCCAGCCAAACTAAACTGAGCTGCATTCTAGTCTCCCCGGTGTTTCTCGATTTATGTCAGGAGATTCATGGCAGGAACTCCACTAGTTACTAGAAAAGATGTAACTAGTCCGACAAACCCAGGTACTTGTGGATTCTGCTTGGCGCTGGCTGCTTAAAAACTCAGCAGTAAAACCCCGTTATACACAGAAGTTAAAATGGCACAGCGGTGCCCTGGCCCAGGGCTTTCTATTTTGACTTTTATTTTTCTATTTTGCCTCACTCTGATTTTGCTTAACGTTGACCTTTTCCATTTAAAGATCTCTCTGTCAGCACTTCCTGTTCGGTGTAAATCCTAAAACGGCCAGGGTCACACGGTCTCTCTCTGACCCCAGCAGCATAAATGACCAGCCCAAGAATATGTAAGCTTGTCAGGACTCTGCAAATTCCCCATGATCGGATCGTAAAGCTGTGGCCATGCTAGGGAATTCCCCCGGGAGGGAGAGCACAATCATGCTGGGATGGCCACCATCCTCCCCAGGCCCCTTGGGTGTCCACAGCTGTGAGAAGTGAGGCCAGCCCCAGAACCCACTGATAATGGCCCCTAAACACTTCCAGGCCCCCAACCCTGAGGCAACCAATTGATGTGTTTCTCCCACATCGATGTTTTCTCTCTCTCTATCTCTGTCTCTCTATCTCCCCCTCCCTTCCACTCTCTCTAAGGAAATCAATGGAAAAAATATATATCCTCAGGTGAGGGTTAACAAGCCTTATTAAGTTCCAAGGACAGCAGGAAGGCCCCTGGGGGTGAAGGACAGCAAGGGGCAGGGAGAGTTGGCAGAGACAGGGTCATAGGCTCAGGCAGGGACCATGGATCCCGGTGGCCTCATAGGCTGTGGAAGAAGCCACCCAAGGGTGATAAGCAGGGAGTGAGCAGGTCTGGCTGCTGGGAGAATGGACACAGATGGAAAGAGGGACTCCAGCCAGGGGACTGGATGGCAGCTTGAACGAGGCTGGTCACCATGGAGACAATGGGACTGGACAGGATTCAGGACATGCTCTGGAGCAGTGGTCGGCAAACGCATTAGTCAACAGAGCCAAATATCAACAGTACAACGATTGAAATTTCTTTTGAGAGCCAAATTTTTTAAACTTAAAGTATATAGGTAGGTACATTGTTATTAACTTAATTAGGGTACTCCTAAGGCTTAGGAAGAGCCACACTCAAGGGGCCAAAGAGCCGCATGTGGCTCGAGAGCCGCAGTTTGCTGACCACTTCTCTGGAGAGAGGGCTACCAGGACTCTAGAAGAAGCATGGTGAGTCCGGAGTTTGTAAATATTCACTAACTATTGCTGTGTGAATGCAGGTGCCCACACACACACACACACACACACACACACACACACACACTATCCTCCCTAGACTCACAGTGCAGGGTAGTGGCCCAGACTCTCTCTGGACCTCGACTCTTCATCTGTAAAATGGGGCAGTAATGGAGGCGCCCTGTTGTGAGGATTGAATGAGTTTCTATAGGTAGAGCATTTAGGAAAGAGCACCTGCCACAATAGGGTATCTGTTCCCAATGTGGCTTAACCAAATACCTTCAATTTAGTGGCTCAATGAAAACAATGTTCATTTATGCTCCTACAGTTCTGGAGGCCAAAAGTTCCAAATCCCTTTCACTGGGTTTAGGTGAGGGTCTCCGCGAGGCTGGTTCCTTCTGACGCATCCAGTCCTTGACTTTTCCAGCTTCTAGAGGCTACAGCTTTCCTTGGCTCCTGGCCGCGTCATTCCAACCTCTGCTTCCATCGTCACAGCGCCTTCTCTTGTGACCTTCTTGCCTCCCTCTTACAAGGAGGACCCTTGTGGTTCTATTTAGGGCCTGCCAGGATAATGCAGAACAATCTCCGCATCTCCAAATCCTTCATTTAATTACATCTGCCCAGCCCCTTTGGCCAAAGAAGCTAATGCTCACGGATTCTGGAGATTAGTACATACATAGCATTGGGAGCTGTTATTCAACCCATCACACATGGCAGCAATAAATAGACGTTTGTTGCTATTAATGTCATGATCATCATTATTCTTCCCTCAGCTACCCCAGACCATAGCCCCAGCCTCTGGGAGAGGAAGGAAAATGGGGAAACCCCTTTCTATCTCCCAGAATCCCCCTGAGACCAGGCTTGGAGCCCAGTTCCGGGCTGGGAGCGATGAGAGGACTGGGAGCAGAAAGCAGACGAGGCAGGAACATGCTGACAAGCCTCATGTGGGGTCAGGCAGGGGGTCCTTAGCACAGCTAAGGCTTCCTGATGGCACTGTATTGGATGAGCTCCTCCTGGCTCCTGCTGGGACGGGGGGTGATGAGGTCCTGTGTGTTGATGTAGATTGAGTCCTGATCTGAGGTGTCCAGAGACAGAGCTGCATAGCAAATGTCCTTGTCCAGAAAGGGGGCCTGTAACAAAGACACATGCAAGTCAGGGAGGCTGGTGGGGGGAGGGGTGGGGTGCTCATGGATGAGGAGGCCTCCCTGAGGCTGGGGGACACGCCCCTCAGGAACTCTGAAGGCCACTCCCAGGCCCTCCAGCCCCGCCTCCCTCCTCCCTGCAGGGTACCCTGAGCTCCAGCCACAGCAGGAGACTCTCCCTCAACTCTGTGCCAGGGCAGCACGTTCTGCGTGTGCTCCCAGGTCACTGGGCCTGGCTGGGTCTCCATTGACCGGCTCCCAGTCCCCCATGTGGAGACCTGATGTGGAGACACTTCCGAAGGCCAAGCGCCTTGGGGAGCCCAGCAGGCAAGTCTTTCAATGGCTGCGATTGTGCCCGGCACCCACCCTCCTCTGTGCCCACAGGGGTGGGGGAAAGTCCATCCTCAAAGCAGGGACGATGAATCCAAGGCCCAAAGCAGCCCCAGCAAGTACCCACCATGGTGATGTACTCCACTTCCCCCTGGTCGTCCTGGGCAGAGGAGGAGGGCTGTGTGGGGGCCCTCTTCCTGGGAGAGCTGGGCGAGGCTCCTGTCTGCTTCAGGTTCAGGTTGGCATAGCAGACATTGTCCTCCGGGGGCTGGAGCACCTGGGAGACAGCCCAGGTTCCTCTTCCGCAGAAGGACACCAGCCCCTCTGCTGCCCTGCCTCCCCCCCAGCCCCCCGCCCCAGCTTCCTATGCAGCTCCCACATCTCTGTCTCCTTCGCCTTTCCCCTTCCAGCCCTCCTCTCCTCTGGCTGTTTCCAGCACCCCCTCCATCCACCCTGGCCTTGCAGCTGGGAGGATCTGGGCACTTGGGCACATGGTCTGCCTGATACCTTTGGACCTCAGGGCCCCTGGGAGACAGAAAATGAGGGAAAGTGCTGGTCTGCCCTCAGGGACTCTCTTACCTGCTCTGGGGATATCCCAGCAGCTAAAAGACAAAAACAGTCAGATTTTTAGTTTCAAAATCTAGATACTGAGGAGCACAGAAAGTATTTATAACGTGAGCCACGGACAATGCACTTGGGGGAAAATGTGATGAACAGAGCCAGGCTCCCTCCTCCCAGACTACAAGATCCCCCAGGCTGCGGGGAGGGAGCGGGCTGGAGAGGACCCCATGAGAGAGAGCGCAGGTCCCAGTGGACTCTGAGAAGGGGCGGTGCCATTACATGAGGATGTGGAAGTGGAGCCAGACAGGAGGAGGGTTTGTTTGGGGCCAGATCCCCTGTTGGATGAGGCTGGCTTGTGAGTGAATGGCTGGGGCGGAGGAGGAGCAAAAGTAGGAATCTCAACCAACCTTTAAAATACAACCCAGAGAACTCTGTGTATGATGCATACGCAAGCACACACGTGTGTGTGTGCATATGTATACTCTCTATGTGCACATGTGTGTTATCTGTGTGTTCATGTGTGTGCGTGCACTGTGTTATATGTGTTCGTGCATGTATGTGCACATTCTTGCATGTGTATGTGTTTCTGCCTACCTCTGTGTCAGCTCAGTACCTCCTTGGCAACCATATAAATTTCACTGAAGTGTCTGGGTTCCCAAAATGGGCCTACGGTCATGGCCGCTTCTGCCACCAAGAGTCAAGCCAGGAAACAGAGAAGGAAGTGGTGGGTCAGAGAGAAGAGAAGGTCAAGGAGGGGTGTGCAAGGCAGACAGCTAATGTCAGCGCCTCCTGGGCTCAGCTACCAGTGGCCTTTGGGAAAACACCCCTTCCAAACCCCATGGGCAACCCCTTGGACCGATGGCTCCTGGATGACCATCCCAGCCATTGACACACACACTTCCACCCAGCCCAGCCCAGCCAGGTCCTCTCACCTTTCCTCTGTCGCTTCACCATTCTCCACACCAACAGTGAGGCTGCCACCAAGAGAAGCAGCAACAGAGTAAAGAGTAGGGGCAGGAGGATGAAGAGCTTCGGGGAGTCGCCACTGGAAACAACAGAAGACACGGGTGCGCCCTTGCTCACCTCCTGCCTCTGGGCCTTATCCCATCCACCCAGTAGCAGACAGGGCCACACACCTTTTGGCCTGCAGTTTCCAGCCTGGGAACCCCACTCCTGGGTGCCCTCAAAAATGGCTGTTGTTTTTAAAGGAGAGGAGGGTTCCACAAGGGAGTTTCATGGGTCTAGAAGCCTAAGAGAAGTATGACAACAGGCACCGGTGAGGTCTCCTGCTTCCTCACTGGTCCTCTGACCTGGCTGCATAGTGTCCCCCAGCCCACAATTCATGTCACTCAGAACCTGGGATCATGACTTATTTGGAAATAAAAGCTTTGCAGATGTGATCAAGATGATGTCATACTGCATTAGGGTGGGCCTAATCCAATGACTAGTGTCCTTATAAAAGGAAAATTGGGGCAACAGGGACACGGTCACAGAGACCATGTGACAACAGGGGCAGAGACTGGAGTGATTCAGCCACAGGCCAAGGGACGCCAAGGATTGCCAGCCACCAACAGCCAAGAGAGAGGCATGGGACAGGTTCTACCTTTGCGCCCCAAGGAGCCAGCCCTGCCGACACCTTGATTTCAGATCATGGACCTCCTGGGCTGTGGGGGAATAAACTTGTCTTGTGTTAAGCCACCCAGTTTGTGCTGTTTCGTTATGGCAGCCACAGGAAACTCATGCACCCTCCTGTTGTTCATCATCAACACAGCACAGCAGCCAGAGATGCTTTTAACCAGAGTTCCATCACCTCCCTCCTGTGCTCAACATCCCAGAACAGCCCCATTTCATTCCAAGAAAATGGCCAAGGCTGACATTGGCCTCCACTGCCCTCCCCCGCCCGCGAGCCCCACACCCCTCCCCCCCACACACACCCCACAACACACACACACACTCTCTCTCTTTCCTCATTTCTTACTCTTCTCACCCTCGCTTCCTCTTCTGGGAGGAAATGCCTGGGGTTCTTATAATAATAAGAAGAGACTGGGACACTGACAAACAAAGGGGAAACCATGGGAAGACTCAGGGAGAAGATGGCCGTCTACAAGCCAAGGACCGAGGCCTCGGGAGGAACCAACCCTACTGACACCCTGACTGAGACTTCTGGCCTCCAGAACTTGAGGCCTCAATGGCTCACGATAGGATGTCAGGCGCCCGGAATGCAACTGTTTGTTTAAGCTGACGCTGCTTTAGATGGCAGTCTGCGCTGATGAAAATAAGGATTATCTCTTACTCATCACTATTTACACTGAGATTTGTAAAATAAATTCATCAATTAATTACTTAATTAACTCTGTTTGGTATGTTAATTATCTCTTGATTGTAAGTGCCTGGAGGGCAGACAGACAGCTTGATTGTTTTGTTCACCTCCCATCCCCTGTGTTTCCTAAGTCGGTGCTGGATATGAGGGGGGCTCAATAGCTACTTGTTGAATAAATGAGTGAGTTATCCATAATGTGAGCAAACGCTCCAATTGGCACTTACATCTGGCTTTGACTCATAAAATGAGAAACTCCTTGCTGTTACTTGTTAAAAGCAGTCCGGTAGAAAGAAACTCCCCCAAAGAGAGGTCTAATGGGTGAGGGGACTAAGGAGTCCCTGGTGTGGGAAGCCTGAGGATGGAAATGTACGTGGTCATCAGCAGGGTCAACGTACAAACAGAATAACACACAGGAAAGTCCTCTGTGAGCTGCTAGGGGCTCTAGAGACACCAGGGCCTATCAGGGTCACTGCTGTTGCCTTAATGTAACTAGGGAAACAGGGCTTCCCCAGGCCCTTCCTGTTCTCCCAGAATTTGGACCGGAGGCACTGTGGCCCCATGACCCTGTGCCCACACATTCTAGCCATGCCCTCTGCCCTGACTGTCGGCTCTTCCATCTCCCACACTCTCAGCTCCGCATGGGACACTCTATATCTGTGAGACCTGAGCTCAACACAGTGCCGGCCAAGCAGAATGTAACTCAGTGGAAGTGGGATGGATGCGTGAATGAACCAACAAACCTCTGAAGTGCACTGAGCTCCAGGACGCAGGATGGGGGTGGGGGCTCACCAAGGACACTGCGCGGCCTGAGAGCAAGAGGAAGGGCCCCTGGCATCCTGGCTGGGACGTGGGACCACAAAGGGTCCCCACACCGGAGAAGTTTGGGACCAGTGGGCCACAGGGAATAGCAGCATCCATGCTGACTTACCTGCCATCGGAGTGCTGGCTGGTCACATTCAGGAAGCCTGTGGAGTTTTCTGGGGTGTCTGGTACTGTGAACGCGTTGGCAGTGGAGGCGATGGCAGAGGTGGGGGTCAACACTGTAGTTGGTGCTTGTCATACAGAATAGGTTACATTCCACTCTCCTGCTGTCCCACCCGCAGCCCTGCACGTAGCTCAGAGCCGGGGAGGATGTGGGCTGCCCTGGCCTGCAGAGCCTGGGGCAGGGCCACGGGAAGGGGCCTACAGCAGGACCACTCATCTCTTTGGCTGTAGGAGACCTGGGCACAGGTCCAAGGGGTCATCACACAGGCCCGGGAAGGCTCAGGGGGCCCCGGATTGCCTCAGGGCAATGGCAGCTGGAGTTCAGCTAAACTTTAAACACTCCCGCTGTTTATGGCAGGGCCTCCGCCAGTACCTCCCCATCTTACTTATCCAGCAAGGACCAGAGCAGAATGGGGACGTGCCAGGTAACTAACATACCCAAGAGCTATGACTTCTAAGGTCAGGGCCGGCCCTGAGCAAAATCACAATGTTCAAGAAGAGCCTTTCCTTTGGACAAGTTATTAAGTTTCTGTGATGGGGTAGTTCCTGCTCAGAATCATTTTCAAGATCCCATGAGACAAGGAACATGCTGCACTTGGCAGCTACCACAGGCCTCCCGGGTTCCAGGTGTGGTGGGGACGCTATGAGTGGGTCCCCTCCCGGCTGTAAGTGCCCTGTGAGCTGGTGCTGGCTGTCCGAGGGTCGGCAGAAGCAGAGCCCAACAGATACACTTGTTCACACCCAGATGCTCCCTGGAGTGTCTATTCCAGAAGGTCTTAGGAAGAGAACGTCTCCAAGCCCAGATGCATCCATGGCTCATGGTGGGATGTCAGGCACGCAGAATGCAACTGTTTGGCTGTGGAAGCCTTTCCAGACCTCGGGAGTGACCCACAGCCCCAACTGTGCTGGGCCTCCTTCCCCCTGAGACCAGATATGGAACAAGGGGTGGGCCAGCGGCTATGAGCCCGGGCCCCAACCTCCAGGAAGAGCAGGGACACCAGGGCACCAGAGGTGCCAGGGAAGCCTTGGCAGGAATGGAATCTCTGGGATTCACGGTAGAAGCTTCCCTCAGCCCATGAGCTAAAACTGGGCCATCACCGTGGTCTCTATGGCAATAGACTCAGGCGATGAGCTGTGCAGAGAAAAAATGTGCCCAGAATGGTTTGAGCCGCTAGAGCATCTAAGAGAAGCCCTGCACCTCCCAACCTAAGTGAGCAGCCAGGGTTCCATGAGACCTCAGGACTCACCCCCCTCTGTGGCAGTTCATCTGAGTGAGTTCAGTCACTGGACAGGGACCTCAGGGACCAGGGCAGAGCAGGCCCTGAAATGACACAGCCACACACGCACGTCCTCTTACCTGGTTCAATGGTCACTTTAACACGGAACCCAGGGTCAGTTCCAGTTTTCTCAATCCCACACCAGTAAGTGTCTGTGTCTTCTTGCCTGAGCTCTTTCATGGTCACAGTCAATGTGCGGTTTGTCTGATGGTCCCGGATGGACACACGGTCCTTCTCCCCAAACGCTGATCCATTGGTTTGAACAAGGATCTTGCAGCTTCCTAAAACAGCCCCTCGACACCACCACTTCAGGTAGGTCTTCCATCCTGGGTCATAGCGACACTGCACAGTCAAGACTCCCCGCTCCTGACCTCTCACTGCTTCTGGACCCGTGATGGGAACTGATGAGCCTGGAAAACACAAACCCATGTACCTGTCACCACCACCTGAGGGCAGGGCCACCGCCGCCTGCACTGTGAGCACCTCCGACAAGTCCAAGGCCTGAGGAGTGGGACAGAGTCAAGGAAGGAATTCACCTTCCACAGCACAGACCTTTGTCCTTCCAAGTTCCCCTGGCTCAGAGCCACCTCCAAAACCACCTAACGGCACCACTGCGGAGCTCAAGGAAACAAAGCACTGACTCTGAGCAATAATTATCTCCTATAACTCCCTCCCTCCCGCTCCCTGTGGCCCATAAATCTTCGTCCATTTGCAGCATCTCAGTATTAACTGGTCTCAGGGGGAGGACGCACCAGCGGACCCATGGCCACAGGAGTGAGTGCTCCTGGCCTGTGCTGCTGGCCTCAGGAGGTGCAGCTGCTATGAACGTTCATATACTCTTTTTTGCTTGGATATGTGTTTTCAGTTCTCTCAGCTACGTACCTAGGAATGGAATTGCTGGTTCACAGGGTAACTCTGTGGAACTCTTTGGGCAACTGTTAGGTTTTTTCCTAAGAATTTACTTTTGAATACAGCTTTGGCTATGTTGCCTAAGTTTCGATATGTAGTATTTTCATTTTTCTTAATGAGTCTTTGCCTGCCCAGTGTGGTTCAATGGTTGAGTGTCAACCTATGACCCAGGAGGTCACGGTTCAATCCAGGTCATGGCACATGCCCCATTTTGAGCTTGATTTCCAGTAGGGGGCGTGTAGGAGGCAGGTGATCAATGTTTCTCTCTCATCATTGATGTTTCTATTTCTCTCTCCCTCTCCCTTCCCCTCCAAAATCAATAAAAAGTATATTTTTTTAAAAAGAAAGAAGAGTGCTTTAAAAAATTCCATCGTATGAACAGACCATTTATATTTATTTATACATCAGTTGATGCACATGTGAGTTGTTCCCACTTTAGGGCAATTAGAGATAATGTTGCCATGAACATTTGCGTCCAACTTTTTACATAGACATATATTTTCAATTCTCTTGGGTATTTACCCAGGAGTGGAATTGCTGGGTCACATGGTAACCGTATGTTTAGCATTTTCAAGCATGTCAAATTGTTTTCCAAAGTGGCTGCACCATTTTACATACCCATGAGCAATGTATGTCCTCTCTAATGAATGTTAAGAGTCTCAATAGTTCAGTTCTATGAAAGTAGAAAGATTTGGTCTGGAGCTGGGGTGGTTACAACAATCATATGGCTCCCTCTCCATTAGATACATTCACTCATTTAACTCATACTATTTGTCTAATCCAGCCGTGGGCAAACTACGGCCCGCGGGCCGGATCCGGCCCGTTCGGCTGTTCTATCTGGCCCGCGGAGCCGAAAGAGTGAAGGGTTCTCTTGCTCTCCCCTCCGCTCCTTCACCAGCAGCAGTATTAGCATGTATTAGTTCACACAAACACTCCATCCATGCTTTTGTTCCGGCCCTCCGGTCCAGTTTAAGAACCCATTGTGGCCCTCGAGTCAAAAGTTTGCCCACCCCTGGATCTGTACCTGGTATGGTTGTAGGTGCAAAAAATCCCTGCCCTCCTGAAGCTTATATTCAATCAAGGTGGGGGAAGGGAAGAGACAAACGGGAGCAAAATGATGCCAAAAAAAATTGTTATTGTAATTAGGGTCATCAATAAAGGCCTCTGTGAGAAGCAAAGACTTGAAAGATGTGAGGGACTGGAACCTGTGGCTCAAGAGAATAGCAGTGCAAAGGCCCTGAGGTAGGAGTGTGCCTAGCATGTTCAAAGAACATCTAAAAGTTCATTGTAGCTGAAGTGGGTTGAACCAGGGGGAGCAGAATAGAGAAGAGCCCACAGCAATGAGATGGAAAAACTCAGATGGTGAGCACCTGGTAGCTCAGTAAGGAGCTGGATTTTTACTCTGAGTGGGATGAGAGGTCATTGGAAGGTTCTGACTAGAGGAGAGATAGGATGTGGCTTACATTGTCAAAGGGTCATTATGGGATATAAGAGGAGATGGATGCCCAGGTTTTGCCTGAGCACCTAGAAGGATGGAGGTTCCCAACGCAACGGTGGGACAGAAAAGAGTTGAAGGGGGAAGGAGTGGTCAGGTCATATTTGAAATGTCAGTATATGAGTGGAGTTGTTCAATGGGCAATTGGGTAGAAGATTCTGGAATCTAGGAAGATGTCCAGGGAATAGGGATACAGGATTGGGAGTCATCTGTACACAGATAGCATTTAAAGCCAAGAGAGGAGATGAGATCAACAAGGGAGTGACTCCAGAGAGAGAGGAAGCCCAAAGGCCTAGCCCTCAGGCCTTCCAACATTTTCAAGACAATCCCCTTAATTTGTAATCCAACCGGTGGCATCCAGCAACTTCAAGGTCACTTCAACCCTCTGTCCATGTCCCAGCTGCTCCTTTCCTCTTCACCCAACCAAGCTACCTCCTCTAGATTTTTCCAGTCCCTCCCTCGGCAACTTCTGCTACTGCCTTCTACCTCAAAGACCTAGAATCACCCCCCTCCCTGTCTGGCAACCTCCCTGCTTTCCTTCCCTCAAGCACCTTCCACCTTCACTTCTTTCCCAAAGCCTCCCTTGCTTCTAACACAGTCACAAAGGTCCAGGAGCAAGCATCGCCAGCTCCCCTGAGCAGCCAGGGCTCCTCTGCTGTGACCGATGGGCCCCATCCTTCTGTCCTCTTGAATTATCAGCCCCCGAGGTGGTTAGGAGGTATGCCTTCCGCTGGGCTCTGTGTGAAAGCCAGGCTGCATATTTCTTCTTTGGCAACTGTAGCCGCTGAAACACTGGTGGTGAGTTGAGTGGATGAACCGCACAGTCTCATGGCTTGGAGGAACTACTTAGAAATGGGGTCCACTTCTCAGCAGGACACCTTCTGGGCCACTTCTCCCCCTGGCAGCCACCTCCTCCTGCTGCCACCTTCTCCTGCCCATAAGCTTTTCCCATGAGTTCAGACCCAGATCCCACTTACCTGGAACCCAGAAGAGGAGGGGAAAGAGCAGCAGCAGGTACATTTTCAGCCTCGCACGGGTCCCCCTGGGTTGAGCCCCTCAGCAAGACCGAACTAGAGGCTCGACTCCTTCATCCTCCAAGCCTTCTGCTTTCACTCACAGTCACTCTCACACTTCCTCCCCCAGCCACTTCCCATGTGTGAATACAACTAAAAGAGGAAGTAGATGTAATGGGCAAGATTTCATAGTTGTTGTGAATAAGATTTTAAGTAATACCTCCCTGCCCAGAGCCACGATGGTTCTCTAAAGAGAGAACTTGCGGTGCTGCTCCGTCTTCTAGAAATTGCAGACACATGATCAGGCTGGCTCTTGCACAATCCTCTCAACTGGAGGTGGGAAACCCAGCTCCCAACAGAGAGCCAAGCATGGGACACAATATCCTAAACCTGGAATTTCAGGTGTAGCCAGATTCTCAGGAGCCTAGAAGGTCAGGAGTTCAACCGGGTGAAGGAGGACTTGGGGCCAAAGTCAGAAAGTCAGGGGAGAGATTCTGGACCAGAGATTGGCATGAAGATCAGGCTGAGGGGGTATCAAAACCCAGCCTGCAAAGAAAGGGGCTCAGAGACAGGGCACCTGCTGTCCAAGGGGCAAGAGGGGCCTCTGTCCTGAGGACATACCGGAAACTCACTGCTGTGCCCCAGCCCTCCAGGTAAGAGCCCATGGATATCAACCCCAGCCTGAATCTTCCATAAACTTGTCAGTAATGCCAAGGGCTCCTTAATGGAGAAACTGGTTCATTGTGCCCTGGCCGGGTGGCTCAGTTGGTTGGAAGGTAGTTCTGATATGCCTGGATTACAGGTTTGATCCCAGTCAGGGCATATACAATAGGCAACCAGGGAATGCATAAATAAACGAAACAACAAATTGATGTTGTCTCTCTCTCTCTCTCTCTCTCTCTCTCTCTCTCTCTCTCTCTCTCAATCGACAATTTTTTTAAAAAAGAAAAGCAAACCAGCTCATTGCTCTTGGCCATCCTCCCTCGCTCCTCACACCCCCACCTCTTTATAAAACCTATCACTGTTGCTTCCTTTAAGACACGTTCTGCAGGTCTTATTCCCTTTTTCCTGCAACTCAGTGCCCATACCCCAACTTCCACCCCCTTTGGGATCCCAGCAAGCCCTCAGGGTGGGGCTCAGTGGTTATGAAAAGATAGAGTCTTTCTCATATTTCACTCCTGGAGCCACTTTGGCCATGTGTCACACACACCCTGTGACATCTTGAGGAGCCACTGAGTCCCGAGGGGAGACCTCAGGCCTTCCTACCAAATCAGAAATGAATAGGAGAGCAGGGGGGTTCTTTGCACAGAAAAACACAGCAGCTGACGAGCCAGGGCGTTTCCAGGAAGTGGCCAGAGCCCGCCTTTCACTTCACAAGATCAACTACCCAATCGGGTGAGAACCTGCTCAGTTTTGTGACCCACTTCTCCGCAAGCACGTCCTCTGCCCAGCGTCTCTGAAAATGGGGCGAGTGTTTAGTTTCTAGGGAAAATGACGGCCCTGAGAAACCAAGGGGGCAGAAGCTTTCCTGGTCTTTCTTGGGCGTGGGAGCAGGGAGTGAACAGCCTCTGAGCTGCTCAGGGGTCTGCCTGTGGCCTGGCCTTGATCCTGGGCCCTCCTGCCCCCGCCAACCCGAGAAGGCTGCCCTTGGAGTCCAGAGCAGGGAATTATCTGGTTGTCTCTGAGTGACGGCAAAACTGTACCTGTGTGTAAGAGTGTGTCTGTGTATGTGCCTACCCTCTGTCCATGTGTGCATCTGTGTGAATGTGTCTGTGTGGGGGTTTGTGTGTGTGTGTGCACACATGTGTATGTGTGTTTACAAGGAACCCACTGTCCCAGCCACAACACCATCTCAGAAACCAACTTCACACTGTGGCTCCCACCTCTCCATTGCTCCCTTCAGATTATCCTGGTGGGTGACAGTGGTGTGGGGAAGACCAGGGCAAGTTCATCCCCGACTCCTTCTCGGCCACTGTGGGCATCGGATTCACAGTAAGTGCTCCCAGCCTCCGGGGCCCCAGGTTGGCTCTGTCAGGGTCCCAGCAGGAAGCAGGTGGTCACTCGTGTTGGATCATTCTAGGAGGTTTAATAAACAGACTATTGACCAAGATGTTGGCAGGGTGCTGGGAAACCAGGAGGGATGGTGCAGTGTTTTGGGGTCCTTATAGGGCTTCCATCCCCCACCCCACTCCCCAGCCTAAGAGAGGTGAGAGGAGGGAACCATCACAGACCCAGGGACCAAGAGGGCTGTGTGCAGGGGGCTGGCAGGCAGGAGCTGTGACCATCAGTGGAGGAATGCAGCAAAGCCTAGTAACCCTCCCCCCACACTGCCCTCCTCCTGCTCCCCCCATATCCTATGGGGCTCCCCATTGATGGCACACAACCAGAAGCTGGAAAGCAAGGGAATATATCAATACAGATTGTTCAGGGGCACCTCCCAATGCAACAAGAAGGCAAAGTCATGGCTTGAAAGTTTAAAAACAGTGCAATCATGCCCAGCCAGTGTGGCTCAATGGTTGACTGTCGACCTATGAACCAGGAGGTCATGGTTTGATTCCCCGTCAGGGCACATGCCAGGTAGCTGGCTCTATCCCCAATAGGGGTTGTTCAGAAGGCAGCTGATCAATGATTCTCTCTCATCATTGATATGTCTATCTCTCTCTCCCTCTACCTCCCTCTCTGAAATCAATTAAAAATATTGGGGGGAAAATAAAAACAGTCTGATCCTAGCATTGCGGTCCTAGGGCACTGGTAGGTCGAAGGTGAAAGTTCCGTTTTTAGCCCTTGGGCTCTCCCTGGACACAGCACGGGCCCGCTGAGATGAGGGAAATGGTCCCAAATGTCCAGGGAGAACAGAGAAGCTGCGCCAGCGTCTCAGACTTGGCCTCTGCAAACCCTGGGGAAGAGCTGAGCTGCGTGGTGTGACGGAGACGCTCGTTCACTGAGAATCAGGAACCCTGAGCTCAGGGACCGCAATGCTCTGCGAATGCAGCCCGGGTCGCTGAGCCTCCGGAGATCCCATAGCTGAATGAGATCCGCACGGGCCGCTGGCTAAACAGAAAGCTGGCGTCCCTCCCCGCACCCTGGAGTCACGAGACAGACCAACCAGGTGTCAGGACGCTGGTTCCGGGCACACAAGGGCGGCATCGCTGTGCTGAAAAGCCAAGGTCTCAGACCTGAGCTCCAGGTACCCTCCTGGGTGCCGCGGGAGCTGTCCAGTGCTGAACCGGGATGCGGCCCGGCCTGGCCCATGGGACTTAGACCTGAGCCTGCGGCGCCCAGCTGAGCCTAGACTGTTTTTAAACTTTCAAGCCACGACTTTGCCTTCTTGTTGCATTGGGAGGTGCCCCTACGACGCCCAGCTGAGCCTGGACCCAGCTTCCGGAAGCTCTGACGCAGAACGCGGGAGAGCGGGAGCAGCGGGCTCCAAGCCGGACATGGACCTGCAGAGACTCACTCCTACCAGGGGGGAGCTGGCCCTGACTTCCATGAGCATGTCCTGCATAAGTTAAGACCCCCCTCCAGGCCCCCGCACCCGTCCCAACGCTGGGAGAAGGCGCCCTCACCAGGAGTTCTCTCTGTTCCCCTGACTTGGCTTAGGGACTTAAGAAGAAACTCGCCCCTATCCGTGAGCCTAGGGAACCCTTTCTGTTGGATCCTGTTTACTGCTCAAAACAGATGTGTGTGCTTTGGGGGAGGGGCCGCCGCCAGAGGTTCCGATCGCCAGGAGCTTCGTTCGTTCATTTAAATCACCGGTGTCCCTTTCTCATTCACCCCCTCCTGCCTCTCATCCATCTGAACTTCCATGTAACCGCTGGGGAGGCTGTTTGTCTTCCCACCCAGGCCCCATTAGGTCCTAAGGTTGTGGTCAAAGACCTGTCATGTGGCCCATGAAAACTTTCACTTCCAACTTGGTTAAAATTAGACACAGAAGTGATCTGCAGCAGGAAAAAAAAAAAGAAAGAAAACCTGTTGTTTTCAAACCAGACTCCCTCGTGACTCCAGAAACCTGCCCTCCAGCCTTAACTTAGTCATATCCTCCTGAAACTGTCTGCTTATTTCAAAGTTCTTGTTCATCTGTGGCTTCCCTCATTCGAGTTCCTTATGCAGCTCAGTCCTCAGTAATGTAGGTCTCCTCTGGAAGCGATTGTTGGGGAAAGTGGCAGCCTCGCTCTAGGCAACACTTTTCATCCAACATCCATTGTTTTGAAAGAATCGGAGCCTTCTGTTTGCTGCAAGAAGTCACTGTGGGTCCTCATGACTCCTCATTCCATCCTTACAGTTTCTACTTTATTTGTCGGTCCCGGAGAGGCTGTGCATTGTCCTGTACGTGGACATTTTTTAAGATCAAAATACCCTTCTGAAAATTCCATTGACGCAAGCTCTGAAATAATACGGCCAGCGGTCCTCAAACTTTTTAAACAGGGGGCCAGTTCACTGTCCCTCAGACATTCCACACATGCGCACTGCAGGCCCGGGGTGAGTCTGCTGCTAAGCAGGACAGGCAGAGGCGGCACAAACACCCGGCGGGCCGGATACATGTTTTCGGCGGGCCGCATGTGGCCCGCGGGGCCGTAGTTTGAGGACCCCTGAATACGACTCCTCCTCTTCCCTTATTGCACAGTTTATATTTGAGGAAACTGAAGTCCAGAGAGCCCAAGTGACTTGTCCAAGGAAACAAGGTAGAAAGTGGCAGAGCTGATACTAAAAGCCAGGAATTTTGACTCTGGGTCTCATAAGTTTTCTCTGTACAAGTGTGGTCCATAGAGCAGCAGCGTTAGCATCGCCTGAGAGCTTGTTAGAGAGGTGAAACCTCAGTCTCCTCCCGGATCTGCTGCGTCTGCATCTGTAATTTAACAGGATCCTTAGGAAACAAATATACACAGTAAAGTTTCAGACGCACAGCCCTGTGTCATGCTGGCTACTTCTGACACAAATAAAGAAAGATCGGTCATTGGAGAGAGCAGGTCCATGTTCAAATGGACTCTGAACTGTGGGGTATAGAAGAGAAGGATTTATAACAACTGCCCCCGTCTGAAAGTTTTAAAGCCATTACAGTTTAAAGTAAACTATTATCAAATCTGTGTTGTTTGAGGTTGAGTCTAGCCTTTATAGACAGTGTATGCAAGCGAACGACATAATTACCAGTCAATTACAAAAGCGTCCTGGTGACTAGATACATGGGTCTAAGCTTAAGGTC